GGGGGGTAGGTTTCCTAGAAGGGTTCGGAGGAGAAAGAAAGTGTGCTGCTGCTTTTTTAATAAATTTTTTTTGGAGTTTGCGATCGAGATGGATGACGACGGAGCCATGTATACAGACCTGGTAAGCCGAAGGATATGCAATCAGGATAGGGGAAGTATAGGGGAGTGTGCAATCAGATCACACGTTAGCGAAGATTGATCTGATTGTGTGTGCTAAGAAAATTGTGTTTGTTAGCGAAGATTGATTGTGTTTGTAGACCCGTACTGACTGGTCGGAAGCCAAGAAGCTGGGGTTTACCGTCACGGAGTTTCTATTGATTTTATGTGCAGTACTATTGGGTCAGTACATGAGAGGAATAGGTCATACATTCGTTTACATGTTTGCAATTCTTTTCTTCGCCTTGGCATTCCAGATGAGGTTCTACGCTTTCGGTACTTACATAAATGGGTATACGGTTAGTTTGAGTGATTTGAGTGTGTATGACATTCGAGGTTTGGATTACTTTTCCGTTTATATCTTTAATTGGGTAGCGACCCTGTCGGCTGGTGCAGTGGTACAAGCGAGTGGTGGATTCCTGGTGTTTGAGAAGTTATTGGTCTCTATTTTCCGTAATAAGGCTCGTCTGTTAATGCCGTTAGGAGCGTCATTGATCGGTGTATTTTGCGCGGGTGTGTGCGGTACGGATGCTGTTATTGTTTTGTTCATTGCCCCGTTTGTAAACGCAGCTAAGATCCTTGGTCAGCGTCCATCGAAGGCGCTTTCGGGGTTGATTGTATCTGGTATTATTGGCGCTGCCTGTTCACCTTTGAATGCTGCGGTACATTCCCTTTGGATACGGTCGTTCTTAATGAATGAAGAGATGGTTAGTTTTGCCACTGGCTGTTGGGTGAATATTCCAGCGGCCATTGTGGGCGCTATTGTGGCCGGCGGTGTTGCGACCTTTATGGGCCGCGACCTAAAAAGTTCCAAGACCTTCCATCGACGTCTGGAGGAGGGGCTAGTATGCAGACCCGGGTCACAACAGAGCATGTACTTCCCCGTAGGTAGCGTACTAAGAAATAGCAGAGGAGAACTCGAAAGCAGTGGAGGACAGATGTCGCATCGCAGCAACGCTTCTCAGCACCGCAAGACGAAACTTCAGACCGCCTTCAGTTTGGAGTCAAGACTCTCCGCAGGCGATTTTGTCTTTACCGAAGTCGCACCCAAAGAAGGTAGCTTCGTAGACATCAACGATCGTATCGCCCGCAGAGGAGAACCTAGTTCCGCCGGACCTGTATCCGCCGCGCCTACCTCCGGTGCAGAAACAGTGGGTCCAAGAAGCTATCTGCTCGAAGGATCCATGATGGTTAGCTACTCGTGCGCATATCGGACTCACGAACAATACAGACCTGTCAAATACACCAAAATCACCGCCTGGGTGAGTGTCGGACTCTACATCACCGCCTGCGTGTTCGCCTTTATCTGGGCCGTACTCAGGAGCACACCTCAACGCTACTCCACCAACGAGTCCTCCCAAGCCGGTTTCTACCCTGACAACATTGTTCACTTAAGCTGGTCACCGCCACAAGTCTTCGTGTATGCCGTTAGCGTAATGGCTATTTCCCTAGTCACCATGTTAGCCAACCGACTGCCCTCCTGCCAGGTCGAGCGCAGTTCCGTCATCCGATTCGGCTTCATCGGATTCATTTCTTCGCTGGCATTTTACGTGCTCGGCACTTGCTGGCTCGCGGACTGGCCGGAATTCGTCCATGACATCATCCAACAGGGCGAAGATCCCACCAAGGATAACCACCCTTGGACACGCATTTTCTGGATCTTCATCATGGCAATATTCACTGGTGACAGTGCAGTTGCTCATCGCATGATAGCACCGTTAGTCACCTGGAACAATAGCAAACTTGTCGAATGGATAGCCAGCAGTGTAGCCATGGGCGCCAGCAGCATAGTCCTACCGACCAACGGAAACATGATTGCAGCCTCCGAGATTGACGACACTGGATCTACCCGTATGGGGCTGTTCCTCTTCGACCATGTGTTCATCGTCCCGGGCCTCTGCGGTGTGGCTGCAGCATGGGGCATAGCCTACGCTCTTGCCCACGCTCTGGTCGGCTAGCTGCGAGGCGTTCAGGCTCTCTGCGCGGCACAACCGTCTCGCGTTTGCACTACACAAACGAGTAGCCAGACGATCCGCCGAAAGCACCGGCATGATGCGGCCGACAGCTGGCGACCAGACGAGTCCTCGGGTAGACTAGTCCTCGGGTAGACTAGTCCTCGGGGGGACTAGTCCTCGGGGGGACTAGTCCTCGGGGAGACTAGTCCTCGGGGAGACTGGTCAGTTTCGGACGGGTGTTGTTGCGTAGTCTGATGCCGAAAGAATGCCAAATCAATGAGCCAAAGAACATCTCTCGGTGGCAGTTTGTGTACCATCAACCGCTTTGTATGTTTCTACCATCCCAGGCGGGGTTCCCCAGGACTACCGCCTTGGCACTTTTCCAGGAGAGGAGCCTGTTGATGAAGCCATTCGTGGGCAGGCCTTATCAAATGGGCATAGGTATGTGGCTTGTTTGCAGAAAAAAAGTTTTTGGTAGACAATGAGATGCTGCTTGAGGCAATACAAAACCTTTCCACAGACTTAGGGAAGCAGCGACGTGACTCACCACAGAACATTAGTCAGACGTTGGATGCCCTGCTGGAACTCTTGTCGCTCTGGCACCTCACGGGAAACGGCGAAAGCGGACGTGGGGTCCTGGCCAAGGTTGGCGCCGCACTTACTACAGCGCGATTACGATTCCAAGAACTCTCCCTCAACTCGGATCTAGTGCGAATCAAACCTTCGGAAATCAGAGACCGCTGGCCACCCAAAGCCAGCATGGCTTCAAACGCTGCCTGCGTCCTTGACGAACGCATTAAACTGGCTATCAAACTTGCCCACAACCTCAAAAAGACGCACAGTTCCAACGGTAACCTGACATGCATTCTCCCCCCCTCTCTCTCCCCCTCCCCCTCGGGCAGAACACCTCTTTCGGACATTCATTTCGCAGAGATTGCCTCATCGTTGTTTCTGCGGAGCTATCCATTCAATGTGGACGTCATAGAGGATAACCATGGTGTCAACAGTTATATCAGTAAGTATTGACACACACAGATCTCACACACACACACACACATCGCACACGATAAAACGTCAGTGAAATCTGGCCAGTAAGATCTGGCCAGTAAGATCCGGCCAGTGAGATCTGGCCAGTAAGATCTGGCCAGTAAGATCCGGCCAGTGAGATCTGGCCAGTAAGATCGGGAGAAGCCAGTCCGACGTGGCTGAGTGTTGGTATGCGAGTACAGTTTCCTGATAGAGAATAAGGATTCGCCGTTGCGAGTGACATACAATCGTTTGAATACGTCTCATCGTTTAATTCGGAAGACTATGTTTGGCGGCTACATTTACACGGGCATATGTTTGGGTCCAGCGAGTGGGGTCGGGGAGGCTGTGTACAAGACATCTTTCTGTCATGATGTAATTGAGTTCCACACGGCATTGGAGTTGATACGTACCCATGAAGAAAGTTCGATGTGTCAGCCAATTTTAGGCGAAATTTGGAATAAGATCCAGTCACGACTTCTTCAACTATTTATTCAGGCGGCCGTACTCCAAAACATCGACCGTACCAGATGCCTTACCTTCGCCAAACTTGCCGGGATCCACTGCCATTCCGTACTCGTAATCCACGCCAGGCACCAGGCTGTCCTCAAGATACTTGACTGCCTGGGCGTGGACGTACTGGGTCAACTCAGTGACCCAACTGCGGAGGACTGCCTTAACGATCAAGACACCGCCACGGAGCCTGCGCGGCCTGAATTGGTTCGGCCTGAATTGGTTCGGCCTGAATTGGTTCGGCCTCAGCTTGATGAGGAGTACCTAGCAAACCTGGTCCTTCCGATCAAGTCTTCGGTCGCTAGGTCTCCAGTGGGTGCCTGCACCGCCGGAGCTGGAGTCAGCGGCAGTCGGCCGAAAGCTGTGTCCGCGAATGTGGCTCCGGGCAGCGCATGTGCGGCGACTGCAGAGAGCAACGTGGGTGCCGGTGTTCGGTGCAATAGTCCCTCGGTGGTCGGTGTGGGGGAAGCGACGCTGTTGCAGACGGAGATTGATTTGCTGACGAACTCCATTTTGTGCATGTCCCCGGTGGCCTATGCCAAAGTCGGTTCGGTCTTAGCGCGTTGTAGCGCATCATCCTTTTACAACCTCCTATGCTTGGTTGAGGCGCAGCCCGATGGGGTATTGGGCCAGATGGAACCATCGGGATTGGCTTCGTTATGCGACCTCGGTCGTCACTGGATGGAGCAACGTCTAGGCTTGTCGCAGACCTCCGATTTGCTCGCGGATCGCTGGGCACCGACGCCCAACAGTCCGGTCGCTGGATCCGACGCCTCGCCCTGTCCTGGTGCAACGCCAGACACCGGGGTTGCAGCCGGCCCGAGCGCTTCATCAGGCACTGTTAATTGCGGCGGTTCAATAACGGAAACTTGCCACAAGGCAGCAGGCGGTTCTGGGTCTGCAGGTCCGCAGGTTCGCGACCACAGAGGGGAGGAGATCGGCATCTGGCCGAGTGCGTTTTGGGCGTGTGTGAAGCTTCGCGAAGTGGGTCACTGCTGTTCGGTCGATGCCAAGTGGCTGCACGTGGTCACTGCCATTGTGGGGGACGCCGCCCTGCAGTATGCGGAAGGTCTGGTGCTGGTCAACGACCTGGTTCCGGTCAGCGGGCCCCGCGTCTACAACCCCTGTTACCTGGACTGGGTAAAAGAGACCAAAGAACTCATTACCGTCAAGCTCACCCAACTGCAAATGCGATCATTGCTGAGAGTACATTCTCTCGCTATACGCGAGAATCAAGGCGCCATTAAAGACGTACAAGCGGACATCGAAGCGTTACTGCTGGCCCACAGACAGGCTGCCTCCACGCTTGACTCACTCAACCACCTTCAAACGCCCTTCAGCCAAATGGGCAACCAGCTGCAGGCCCTCCAAGATCAGGTAGGCCAGCTTGCAAAGGTGGATTGGAACACCAGGTGGAACGAACTGGAGGTGAAGGCTGAGACAACTGTTCAGTCGGCTCTTGAAGACCTCAGTAATTGCACACACACACGTGTGTGCCCCATGCCGGCACCCCCACTTCATGCCACTCTGCCACTCTTCGTTGGTGTGCTGACCCATGCACAATCAATGACGGCATGCGGCTGTCCGATGCGGCATGCGGCTGTCCGATGCGGCATGCGGCTGTCCGATGACCGGTCCTATTAAGGTGTTTGTGTAGAGGATCTGTCGGCGTCGGTGATGCAGCTGTTGAAACAGATTGAAAAACACAGAAGTAAACGGTCCCAATCCGATCACCGGGAAACTCCTGCTCAATGTAAGTTCGAATCCAGTCGACTGAACATTGGTTGTTTCGATGGTTATTATATCTATGATTGATTGAGACGTTGTGAGGGGTTGACAGGTGTGCTTAAGATGGGTGTTTGAGATAATCATTGATTTTAGACGATGGACAGGTGGGCATGATCAGCCAGCAAGAGTTGATTCTTGCTCAGAGTACTCAGTTAGCCAACCTGCGGATTGAAGTAGATGGCCTCCGGGAGTCTCTGCAGTCCATGTATAGTGACGTAGAACTG